GGAGCCCATCAAGCCGGTGACTCAGGCGTGACCTGACTCAAGGTCTTTGATCTCTGGGGCTAAGAATGCAGCAAGAGGCTTGTGTCTCAAAGACTCAGAGAGGAGATGGAGAGTCTGATTAGAACAGGAGCTAGGGGAGGTCTGAGGGTACAGGCAACAGCCTCCACCCACCACTCTGACCTCTGGCCACCCCCAAAGCCATGGAGTCTTTGCCCCAAAATCCATTATCATCTGAGTTCATCTCTGTGTTCCTGTCCCACTTAGTGTCTACTCTGCACTCCCCACCCAAGGCCCCCCTGGCCTGTTCAGAACTTAAGTCATTTCCAAAATCCCCTTCTCTCTTCTCTCTGCTCTGGTGTCATGTTGCACTGGTGATGGTAGATGTGGGGGGTGGGGGGGTAGCGGTGAATTGTATGGCTGGGTCAGTCCTGCCAAGAGAAGGGAGGGATTGGCTTTGGGAGACTTCCCTCCCCTCCCCAGCCAGGTGAGGCCCAGTGGGGGAATGGCTGGCATCTCCCCATTTTTCAGTGGAGGTACCAAGGCACAAGGCAGAGGAGAGGCCATGGGTTCTGAGAGCTGTGACATCATCTGGGAGCCAGCCTGCCTTCTCTGGCCATCCCTTCTCCACATTCCTAAAACATCCAGGCCCAGAATCTCGTCATATGTGCTGCTCTCCTCAGCAGCAGCAGGACTAGGGTGGGCGAGTCGGACACATTGGGATCTGAACCCGCTTTGTGGCTTTGGGTGTGTTGCTTACCCTCTCTGAGCTCCAGCATCCCAGTGTAAAGTGAGAAGTGAGCGCCACCATCTCCTGGCGTGGCTGGGTGAGGGGGGGATGCCTTGCCTCCCAAACAGTTTGGGTCCTAAGCAGATACCTCCAGATCCCCGTGCCCTGTGCAGGCCCAGCATTCACAGTAGAGGCTGAGGCTAAGAGGGACGAGCTAGCAAAACTTTTTGCAGATGTTCAAGAACAACCTAAAATTGTTTGGGGTGTGTGTTTGTGCATGCGTGCATGGTGGTCAGCGTGGTCACTGAGTTCAACCTTATTGGGGCAGAGGAGCCCGGTGCTCGCATAGCCCATCCTGTGGGAGGAAGGGCAAGGGGGACAGGGGAAGATGGCTCAAGACACATTCCTGCAGGAGGGAAGGGCCTGCTGCATAGGAAACAGATGGGGTGGAGGGTGGGTGGGGGAAGTTGGGGCAGCATGTGGGGGGAGGGGTTAGGGGAGGTCTGGGGTACCTGCCATTTCCCCATCCTGTACCCCCTCCCAAGTGTTCCAGGCTCATTTAAGTGTGGCTGAGCAAGGAAGCCTCTGACCTAAGCACTGGCGAGGAGGCTCAGAGAAGGAAGAGTCTCCGTCCCCCACTCCCATGGGTGCCCTAAGGGACATGAGGAGGAGAGGGTCCCTGCCTCACTGCCTGTGATGGCCTGTCACCGTGCAAGCTGCCAGCCTCACAGACCCCTAATCAGAGTGACAGCTCCAGGAGGCCTCCCAGTGTGGCCTTCCCACCCCCACACCTTCAGTACCCTTCCAGCGAATGAGTGGTCCCCCTCACTGCCACCCGGCTGAGACCTCACGTGTCTAGCTGCAGAGCCATGTGTTAAAGGCTCCTTACACTTTGCCTCAAGCCTCTTGAAGGTTTCTGTGTGACTCTTCCGTTCAGAGGCCGAGGCTGCCCCCAGTCAGCTGCATCCTCAGGGCCCTCTGCTCTGGCCCAGTCCCCACCAAGGGCTGGGAGAGGCCTTCAGCATGGCTGAGGGGCCCTCACCCCCAGTCCTCACCCCAGGGCAGCTGGTGGGGCTTCCTCTCCCACCCCCAGCTCTCAGAGAGCCAAGGAGACAGGAGAAATCCATGAGAGGGTGTGGAGTAGGCTGGAGTGGCCTGGAGTAGGCTCAGAAATAATGAGGCCAACGGACAACAGGTTCTTAGCTGGGGCCCCCAAATTCCCAGGTTCCCACAAATCTGAGGACCCTTGATCCCTGCCCTAGGCCCAGCTGTCACCCTCCCATGCTCCCACAGCCCAACCCCCTCCCTCATCAGGGCGGTGAGAAAGGTCTGCCCCCATGGCTGCCGCTCCCTCTGAGCTGTGCTTGTGCCCAAGGGCAGGCTCCAAGCACCCCTCTGAGCACCCCTCTGGGCAGAATCCTGGCACAGGCCACCACAGATGACTGCAGGGACAGCAACTCACTTTCCATTTTATAATCTGGAGAGGAGGAGCGGGCATCCCATCTCCTGGTGTCCCCACAAACCTACCCAGAACTCTGGGGATGAGGACTGTGGAAAGAGGGAAGCCCAGAGAAGGGGTTCCCATCCCTGTGGCCCATCTGCCTCTGGCCACATCTCGTGCTTTAGCCTTTTCTCCTCGCACGCCACCTGTTCTCTCCAGGGGGGCACGGTGGGCAGGAAGAGAGAGAGGGAGGATTGTACCCCAGGGTCTGCAGTCCAGAAGCAGGGCTAAAGAGGCTACACCGGGGCTGGACGGCAGATCCTGGGGCAGACCTAGGCCAGACTCGCCTTCCCCACCCCCTACTGCCCTCCAGGCCTGCTTCCCTGTCAGTGCCCCCCTTCTGAGGATGGCACTGCCTGGCACAGCATCACCTCACCTGGAGTCATCCTGGACACCTCCCTCTCCACATCTCTCTGTCACCGAATCCTGTTGCTTCTGCTACAGAAAAGACCCCAGAATCTATGTCCTGCTTCTTCTCACGTACCCCCAAGTCTTAACCTTCCCTCTTGCCAGAGACATCTAAAAACTCTAATGACTCCTGCTCAGAGCCCTTCAGGGACACCCATCACCTTCAGGACAGAGGCTAAGCCCCCAGTCTGGCTGTGAGGCCCTTCCAGCTGGTTCCCGCTCACCTTTGGCTGTGCCCACCGCTCCCGGAAGGCCACGACAGGCCTCAGATCACAGAGCACTGGCTCTAGTTGTTTCTCTGCCTGGAATTCCCTTTCCGTCTCCGAAGTCCCACATCAGCATCACTTCTCTGAAGTTTCCCCTGACTTCTGTCAATTCCCTTCTGCCTCTGACTTCCCCAAGCACCATCTACCCGCCTCTTTGGAACCTGCTATTATCTTGGACAAACTTGTCTGCCTGTGTCTTCAGACCTTTCTTGACAGGCAGGTTTGCCACCTTTGAAAAATGCGAATTCCTCGGCAAATCCCATATGTTTTCAGTTACACGCAGAATCTAAAAAAGTCAGTCTCAGGGCACTTGGGTGGCTCAGTCCATAAAGCGGCTGCCTTCGGCTAAGGTCATGATCCTGGGCTCCTGGGATGGAGCCCCTAGATTGGGCTCCCTGATCAGTGGGGAGACTGCTTCTCCCTCTCCTCCCCACTGGTACTCTCTCTTGCTATCTCTAGTTCTCTCTCAAATCAATAAATAAAATCTTTTTAAAAAAAATCTAAAAAGTCCATCTCGGAGAAATAGGGATTAGAGTCATGGTGGTCAGGGGTTGGGGGTGGGGGCAATGGGGAGACACTGATCAAGGGTATAAATTCCAAGCTATCAGATAAATAAGATCTGGGGATCAAATGCACAGCATGGTGACTGTAATTAACAATGCCATTTTACACACATTGGGAGCTGTTAAATGCTATTGACACTCACAATCACAATTATGTGAGGGGATGGAGATGTTGAATAACCTTATTGTGGTAATCATTTTGTATTACACAGGTGCATCAAGTCATCATATACCTTAAATTGACATATATGTCAATAATATCTTAATAAAGCTGGAAAAAAGTAAAAATACGAATCCTCCAAACAGCAGCTTGCCTAGTTGATTTCTATAAATAGCTAAAGATGAATGAGTGACTTTTGAACACAGACACACTCCAGAAATATCCGTATAGTCAGATACACTCTTACTCAGAATCACACCCTTGGTGCCCAGCCCCAAGCACTCGGGTGGAGGAGCTGGTACCAGCCCTCAGGCCATCCCCTGCCTTTGCTTATGCGGTGACCTCTGCCTGCAGTGTCCTTTCTTCCCATGACCCTGTTTCAAAGCTCAGTGTGTCCCCCTTCTTCCAGGAGGCCTTTCCTGGTGTCCCCAGGTATAATCGCCCCTTCTCCCTTTGTACCCACACATGGCACCCACAACACTATTTGCTCTTTTTGCGGCTGTCTCAGACCAAAAGACAGACTCCATCTTGGAGTAGGACGGTGAGGAGTCCAATGGGGATTTGTCCCCAGACCCCAGCACAGTGACAGAAATGCAGTGGGTGTCCCGTGAATATTTGCCGAAACAACAATATAGCCCTCTGGCAAAGCTCCTGACCCAGGCTGCAAAGTAGGTTTCCAGTGGCTGCTCCCAAGAACCAGGTAGAAGTTCTGGCCTTCCCCCACCTCCCACACTGGGCCTAGTTCTGAACTTGTTTCTCCTGCCAGCCAAGCAGCCTGCCTCTCCTCATTTTCCCCATGGCCCCCACGTGCCTGTCAGCTCAAATCACCCTCATGAATGCATTCACCCATTTCCCCCAGAAATCTGTCTCCAGCAGCCCCTTCAGCTCACAGCCAAACCTCTGCAAAGTCACCCCAGCCAGGGAGAGGCAGAAATCCTGGCCAGGAGTCCAGCCGCCAAAGGAGGAGTGGCTTCCCCTGTCTGTCCCTCAGCTGGAGGGCCATGCACCTTGCTGACCCCAAACTTCAGAGACTAGAGCAGAGGCCCAGGCTATCCCTTGTCAGAAAGGCTATCCCTACTGGGGGGCTCCAGACTGGAGAAAGGCTGCTTAGGGGTCCTGACCCCCCAGAGACCTCACAAGGAGAGCTCTCACACCCCAAAAAGAGCTCAAGAGAAGTCCTCAGTCCTAAAGACCCTCGGGTTCTAAGAGACCCCATGGGGGGCTGTCTTGATTATCGGGGGGACTTCCAACCGTGAGGACCCATTGAAGGCACCCCAGACCCAACATTCCCCCCACCCCCAAGAGAGCCCACGGCCCCAGAGCCTCTCACGGGGCCCAGATGGAGCCTGTGGGAGCATCGCCCCTCTACACTGACCTGGCCCTGTGGGGGTCTTCCCCAAGCTGAGCTGCCTTAGCCGCCGCTGGTGGGCGCGCCCCCCGCAGTGCACCTGGGCCTGGGCTGCTGAGTTCAGCTGGATGTTGCAGACGTCACAGAGCGTGTAGGATGGCCGTTTTCTTTCCCGCTTGGGCTTAGGCAGTTCTGGGGGCCGAGGGGGGCACTCCGTAGCTCCAGATACGGGGGGGCTCTTTCTCACCCGGGGGAGAGGGGCTCAGTGGCCGCTTCATACCTGAGCAGAGAGAGAGGGAGACAAGTCGACAGGCTGAGTACTGTGAGCACACAGAAGGAGCGAGAGGGGCTCAAGACCCCGAGACACCTGTGCCCTGTGTCCCAGATGAAGCTCCTCAGCTTTTGGACATCCCCAACCCAAGGGTGGCAAAGGGAGTGTGACAGGGTCCGCTTCAAACAAAGCAGCATTAAAACTCTGGAAGAATGTCTGGAATGGTCTGGAAGACGGTCACGAATGTCCACACACCGAGGGCCGACACCTGGGGACTCGGCTCAGAGAGGAAGACTTGGATGTTGGGGAGCAGCCAGGGAGAGGAAGCAATAAGGTTAGGGGAGTCGTCACAGTGCAGGAAGCCAGGGCCCTATTCTCGGCCTCGCAGCAGGCACTGACAGTCCTGTGACAGGCAGGCATGTGGCGCTTACTGTAGCCGCTAGCCAGAGGGCTGACTGCAGAAACCCTACCTCCCTACGCCCAGTCCCCGGCCGGTGACATTCACAAGCGTTGACAGTGTGTGAAACCATCCCCACCCCTGGCCCACGTGTCTCCAGATGTCCCTCGCTGTGGGGGCCACCCAGGCTGTGGCAACAGTTTATATTTTCGGTAGTGACCTGGGCCCTGCTGCCCGCGTCTACGGAACACAGCCTTTTCACACACTCACACACATATGTACACACACGTGCACACACACACATACACACATCCCTTCCAGGCCCCTCAGCTGCCACACACCATCTTTCCGTTCCGACTCACTTCTCTGGAACCTTCCTGCCTGACTCCTCGGCTCTCACCTGCTCTCTTCTGGGGTTGCCAACTCTCTTCCTCACACTGAACGGTCTTCCTTTTCACTTCCTGGATCTGTGTGTGTGCTCTCTGCTGGGGCTGCACACGGTTGGGGGGGGTGCTCCCTGAGGGCCTGGCCTGAGCCTCCCTCACCTCCTCTGAGGGGACAGAGAATTCCCAAGCTCAGGGACATGTGACTTCCTCACAGCCCTCAGAAGAAATCCACCCTGAGGACCCCTTGACTTCGGACCTGTGGCTTCCAGGACCGTGAGGCAATACGTTTCTGTTGTGGAGGCCACCTGGCTGGTGGTACTTTGTTGCCGTGGCCCTAGGAAACGGGTGCATGGGAGGTCTGACCTGTGCGCTTTTGGAGGTGCCCAGTGGCTTGAGTGGCAGAGGTCCCCAAGCCCGGTGGAGTGGCGAGGGTGCAGTACCAGAGGCCGGCTCCAGGTGGCGCAGCGACCATCTAGCAGGTAGCGAAGTGGGGAAACTCCATACCCCTCCTGGCGAGGAGGACCCCACTTCTCCGCATTCCTGCCGCCCCTAGCCCGAGCCATGCCAACCTCCCAGGCACTGTGTCGGGGGTGCAGGGCACAGTCTGCCCACAGAGGGCATCCTGGGAGGTTACTGCCCTCACCTTGTGAGCGATCCCCTCCTGGGCGGCCCGGAATCCCCACCTACTTTCAGCATTCTCTCACCTCCAGGGGGAGGTCATCAGAGCTCTGATCCTGCCTGCACAAGTCTTCCCCTACCCTCCCAGCAGGAGGAAGAAGCCAGAAAAAGTACCGCTTGCAAGTGTTTTTTCTGGGGAGGGGGGGTGTCCTCAGCTTGCCAGTGGGGAAGAGGCTTCAGGGGAATGAGCTTTTCCTGGCCAGGCCTGTTCCGCCAGTGAGGGGATGGGGAGACTTTGAAATCTCGGTGCCATTTATGACAGGCGGGCTGAGGACATGGCCCAAGAGAGCGGACAAGTATCTGCCAGGGGGCTGATTAAACCTCTGTGATATACAGCCTCTGGGCTCACGGGGCCTGCCTGGATTCAGTGCTAATTGTGCTCCCTGGCTGGGCTGCCAGCCTGCCGTAACCTGCCCGGCCTGACCCAGCCTTCCCAGCTGTCCCCTGAGGAGCCACACTCCAGCTATGACTCCCAGCCAGAAACTGGGGAGGGGCGGACACTTTTGAGGGCACACACGCATCTGTCTGACCCCTGCCATGAGCCTCGGCTGGCCAGCACCCCCTGCCCTCGCTCCCCTAAAGCAGCAGCATGACTCACCCTCACTGGACCTACACGAGGACAGGACCTGTCTCCCACGTTCTCTTTAACAGAAGAGGAAACTGAGTCCCAGGAGAGGGGAGTGGACTTGCTTCAAAGTATGTGGAAAGAGGGGCGCCTCAGTGGCTCAATGGGTTAAGCCTCTGCCTTTGGCTCAGGTCATGATCTCAGGGTCCTGGGATCAAGCCCTGAATAGCACTGGGCTCTCTGCTCAGCAGGAAGCCTGCTTCCCTCTCTCTCTGCCTGCCTCTCTGCCTACTTGTGATCTCTGTCAAATAAATAAATAAAATCTTTTTAAAAATTTAAAAAGGACGTGGAAAACAGTGAAGAGTTGCTTCTAGAAGCTTCCTTGCCTCCCTCTTTACCCAGCTGACCAGGCCACGTCTTTAGAATTATGACCACAATTATTGAGAGCTTACTATGTGCCAGGTGCTTTGCACATAGGATCTCTTTTAAACTTCATAACAACCCCGTGAGGTGGGCACTATTATTAACCTATTATCCCACTTCCTAGATTAGAGAACAGGCATCGAGAAGTTTCATAGCTAGATGGGGAACCTACACTTGTCTTATCCTGGAGCCCAAGTCCTTAACCGCTGCCCCATTCCCCCTCTCCTTAAAGCCTGCCAAGTCCTCTTTTGAACTTCTGGGTGGGGAGGGGGTTTTACAGAATCTGGGAAAGACTCCTGGGGGAACTTGGGGGTGCTCAGCCCCTAACAGGCTGGAGTGCTTGGCAGGGAGGGGCCACACCTTGGCAAGAAGGGGCTGGAGCCAGAGAGGCTGGGAGAGAGGGACTTGAAGAAGGGGGGAGAACTGAACCTGAACTGAGTTCTGGAAAAGACCAAGTGAAAGTGCAGAAAAACAGCATGGATGGGGGCGCCTGGGTGGCTCAGTGGGTTAAAGCCTCTGCCTTCGGCTCAGGTCATGATCCCAGGGTCCTGGGATGGAGCCCCACATCGGGCTCTCTGCTCAGCGGGGAGCCTGCTTCCTCCTCTCTCTTTCTGCCTGCCTCTCTGCCTACTTGTGATCTCTGTCTGTCAAATAAATAAAATCTTAAAAAAAAAAAACAAAACAGTATGGATGTACCCAGGTGTCTGACTGTCTGTGATTTGCACAGACAAAGCTCTCTTGCTCCCACCTTCCCTAAGAGAAGGCCAAGGCTGCAGCAGGGAGCTGGGGTTGATGGGGGAGGGAGCCACCATGTAAAGGCAGGCTCACACCAGAGCTGGTGGAGGCCAGGGTTGCTACCTGTCCGCCTATTTGTCGGTTCACAGGGACCTGGAGCAGGTAGGGGATGGAGGGAGCACCCAGGCAGGGCTCTAGGGCTCCACCTCCACCACTTTTGCTGAGTGATGAATGGACTTCGGGGCTTGGGTTTCCGTGGCCCTCAGGCACTGCAGTGGGGTGGAGCTCTAGGCCTGCCTGTCCCAAGAGGGCTGGCTGGAAAGGGACCTTGGAAGCCATACAGCACAGAGCAGGGAGTTGTTTCAGCTGTAGCTTGAGGAAGGGGTCCTCAGGGAAGAGCCACTTTTGCCAGAGGGTTAACAGGAGAGGAAGGTTCTAGGTCTGTCCCCGGCCTTTGGCAAGGCATGAAGGGCTCCTTCACTAAATCCTTAATGAGCCCAATTACACTCTGGTATTTTCCCCCATGCCTGCCAACCTCTACCCTCCCACCTTCCCCAGCCAGGTCCTAGGCCCTACCTCTGAGAAGGGAGCCTGGCTGGCTGGCCAATGTGCAGCTAGTCCCTGTCCCTCTGGGCTTCAGTTTTCCCTCTTTAAAGAGAGGGGGGGTTGGGCTGGGCTAATCTCTTAGGTCCTTTGCAGGCACCTCCAAGCAGCTGCCTCTGAGGTGGGGCTGCGGGGAAGACGGGGCCGTATTGGTCTGTCTCAGCCACCAGAGAAAGGCGGGGTGGGTTTGGAGAAAGAACTGCCCCTGGTGGGTGCCCCTTGCCCTCTGGGCACTGTGCAAACAGCCTCCATTAACCCTCACAACAACCCTGTGAGGCATTACAAGTGAGGAAACTGAGGCTCAGACTCGAACGGAGAGACAGGTGAGTGCGGCCAGTCCTCTCTCATCCTGTGACACAGGGGGAGGGGGTGCACAGCCTGGGAGCCCCCGTCCCACTCACTCAAAGGATCCCCAGGAGCTGGGGATCCTGTCCCTCCCCACCAACCCCGCTGTAGAAAGAAGTGTCTGGAAGAAGAGAGGCCTTGTTTGTTCCTGTTCTAGTAAAGCATGGGCTCTCTGGGGTCCAGCTGCCCACTCAGTGCCCCTGAGGGGCCACCACTGAGCCTACTGGTCTCTCCTGTCACCTCCCCTCTCTCAAGGCTGACAGCTTTCTAGGGTGAGGAAGGGGGAAATTAGCCACTTCAGTGCTTAGCCACCACAGGGTGGCATCTACCCCCGCCATCCTGTGGGCCCATAGAGCTGGAATCACAGCCAGGTCACACATAAGCCTCCCCACTAGAGGAGTAGGATGGACATGCCAACCCCCAGCCCACACCCTCCCCACTTTGCCAAGGCACCAGCAGCTCCAGGTGCCAGGGCCCGGGGGTGGGGGGATTTCCACTGGGCAAACCAAAGCAGGCATGTCTGTCTTCCTGTCCAAAGTGGTGACAGAGGCAGCCCATCACCTTCCCCTGGAGATGCTGGATGCCGGGGATTTCAGGAGTAAACTGGTTAAGAAGTGCTGAAAGCCAACACTTGCTCCAAGAAAGGGAGAGAGAGGGCATGGGAGGTGAGGGAGAGCCATGGCCCAGAGATGAGGTCACCACCCCCCTCGACCTCCCCTCCCCCAGTCTGCTCTGTCCTCATCCCTATAGGCCAGGTGTCCCAGAGGACCTCCTGCCATCCTGACACCCCCACAGGTGGGGGCTGCCTCTCCTAGGCAGTGGTACTCCCTCAAAAGAGCCTCATGCTACCCTCAGGAAGGAAGTCCTTCTTGCTA